GGGCCGCCCGCGTGGCAGGCGAGCATTCTACCACTGAACCGCCGACGCCTGGAACGTTCTCAATTCACCTTAGATGTAACCCATGAAAAGAAATAGATATGAAAATAAATTTCAAGAAATGCAGGTGTCTTTCCGGAAACAAAAATAAACTTTTTCACTTGAATTGGATTTCAGAAGAGTCAGACGACGGGTCACTGATATATTATCGCCTCTCTGATGATGCGAATCCAAACAACCTAACAACGTCACAAAACGATTGGACCGTATATGTTACTGTTTCACCACAGGATCGTCCCATTACAGAGTTGGTTGATTTCAATAACCTTTCGAACATTTCATTTGATTTCATTGTGACTGTTATTGAGTTGAATGATCTTGTGTGAAAAGATCGGAGGTCAGATGAATTTTCTTCATTTAGAAACTATTAAAGATTTTTCACACTCCATTAATTCAGTGCTTTTTTATACATTTCTTTTAATCTTGTTTGGATTTAACTTTCAGGCCAGTCGATTTTACAGCTGATAATAAGCGTATTTATTGGCTGTGGGGAGAAGGAAGTGACTTAGGTGCTTTTTCAACACAACTTTCATTTCACTCATTCGAAATTGATCAGTTTAATCTGGTATTCGTCGGGGACCCCGGCGGGGAACGCGTGAAGCGCAACTTGCTCCTTGACTTTTTCGCAGGGGCCCCTGTCCATTTTTCTCCCTGCGGGGTCCCTCCGTGCGAAAAACTGCTCCCCGACGAACACTAGTTTAATCTGTTACTCACATCAGATTATCTTCTGATGTCGAGTTTTCGAATTCAGTGGAGCCTCACAACTCACAAAGTCTTGCTGGAAGACTTTTTGCCGTTTTTTTTGCATTTCTGAGATGTGTTAATAAATTTATGGATTTTCAGGACAATTGGTCATCCACGATTTTGGTCACCCGGAAAAGAATGAAATCCTTTACTCAGCGAAAAGAGCTGAAATTGAGATCGATGAACAAAATGAATATCTGCTCATACACCCCAAAGATAAAACCGTCTTATCGCTTTATGAGGCAAATAATCGGAAAGATTTATTAATATCCAAATATATTCATTCGGTTGCTCAATGAAAATTTTAAATTCAAACGAATTACGAGCGAATTACTTCAGAATATAATGAATGAGTGATTTTTCTGGATTGCATCAGATGAAGACTTTTGAAACTTTTTAATAGAATCTTCCAATTGAAATGGATCAGAAAACAGATATCAAATTTCAGTTTTATCACAAACCTGAATTGCACATTCTCAACGAGACAGTAAGAGAGGATTTCGATTACTTGCAAAATCTCAAACCAGGCGATCCACCGATTGTTGTGATTTTTAGTGAAGGTGAGTAGCCACTGATCGATTCGATGACAGTTGTTGGTGATTTCGCTTGCAGTTCAGCTTGTAGCGGTTTTAGTAATGAAACTGCGTTTTGTTACTCAACTGATCGAGATGATTTCTGTTACAGATTTTAATATTTGGTTGGTAAGATATTTGTGCGATCATAGTCCAAATGAATATTTTTTGTACGATCGCAAACGGAGGAAAGCAGAATTTTTGTTCAGCGAACGACCGCAGTTAAGTGAAAATCACTTATATAAAATGATCGGATTCACCTTCAACACAAGAGACAATTTAACTCTTCAAGCCTACCTCAGTCTACCACCCGATGTACATTCTTCATAAATCATTTCAAGAACAATACGGAAAAATAACTTCTAAAAAAGTTGAAATAATCGTTTGGATATTATGGATTTTGAAAGAGGTTTTCATAGAAATACGAATTTTTGCACAATTGCGAAGTTATTTTTCTGATGAAAGCTACAGATTTTATCGAATCATCACTGAAATTTTCATGTGCTCTGTTCGAAATTCTCTAACAGAAAAATCAGCTCAGGTACCACTTCGTCAAATTGATATGAATGATACGGCTGGAGAAGATGATAAACTAAATGAGTATATTGAAATGGGTATGATCCCAGCCACACCACAAAGTATGGTTCTACATGTTCACGGTGGACCACATTATCGTGATAAATTCGGTTTTTCAAGCACACTTGCCTGGTTAACCAACAGAGGATACGCTGTTTTACAGGTTTTCGTTCATTCATTCAACAACATCAAAATGATGAATTGGCTCTCGTTTGCTCGTCAAAATTTGATCTTATTATCGATCCTGCAATATTCGTCAAAGTTTAAAACATTACATTACTTGACTGACAATAAGTTGCTGCAGCAATAGTGGAATTATCTTTCTGTGAAATAACAAAATCGCGTTAATCATCACTATAAAAGCNAGCAATGTATTTGATCGGTAACGCACAGAAGAATGAATTTGTATTTAGCAATTGATTTGAGGTGAACTATCGTGGAAGTACGGGTTTCGGTAAGGAGTATACGAATGCTGGCAATGGTGAATGGGGACGTAAAATGCACAACGATCTTATTGACGCGGTCAATTTTGCTGTAAAATACGCCATTGCAGACCCGTTCAAAATTGCCATTATGGGTAGGTGCACAAAAAACTTGAATCCTGAATTCATCAGTTAAATCATTCGACCTGTTACTATTAATAGCTTTGCCACAAAATTAAGAAATTCCTAGTTGTCTTCTTACAGTTTCGAATTTATTTTACATCTCTTTGTTCGTATTAATTCTGTTATTTGGAATTCAAAGATAATTTGTGCATTTTCCACGTGAATTTTCTTAATTTCAAAGATATTTTTTAATCATCTGACTGCAAAAAGTTGACCTATTCCGAAAATTCTAACCAAAAAATTCAAAGGTGGTTCATATGGTGGCTATGCAGCACTGGTAGGGATGACATTCACACCGGATGTGTTTGCCTGCGGTGTTGATAGTTGTGGTCCAAGTAATCTGATAACATTTCTTGGAACAATTCCACCGTATTGGATGGGTGGCTACAAGGAACTTGTAACATGGCTTGGCGCTGATAAGGTCACTCCTGAAGGTACTTCATACATTGATATTCTAATTCATTCCGAGTTTCTGCAAAACTTGCTGTATCTTTCAGGTAGAGCTTTTCTACGAAGTCGCTCTCCATTGTTCTTCGCTGATCGCATCAAGAAACCACTCATCATTCTGCAAGGAGCAAACGATCCACGAGTTAAACAAAACGAATCTGGTACGTTGGTATTTGAAAAATCTGACATTCGGATCTCAAAAAAATTTTTTTTTCCGAAGAATAGACGATGACTCGTATGAATTTCACTAATGCTTCTATAAAGTTAAATATTACGGATTTAATGGAGTTCGAATAACCAATTTTCAGATCAATTTGTTAATGAGCTAATCAAGCTGAA